CCCCCCCCCCCCCCCCCCCCCCCCCCCCGCCTTTTATTGGCACTTATTGAGGCCAATACCTCTGGTCGATAACACACTGAGTCTGCGCGTAGGGTGTGTGCTGTGGGAATTACAAAAGTGACAACAGAACATAGGAGCCTGCAAAATGAGCAAATCACTAGGACTTTTAAAAGTAAATTTAAAAGTAATGAGGGCCTAAAAGTACCCATATGTGAAGTGGGAAGTTTTAAGTTTCAGCCTTTTCTGAGCTTTCTGTGTGCCCAGAAGAGAAGCTTATTTTGGAAGTGGAAGAAGTATGATTTTTTTTTCCCTCATCAACTCAAAAGTGGTTGAACTGATTTAGCTCGAACTATAAAAAGATGATCACCAAATGTGGCCCGGTACAAGATTTCTGTGTGGAAGAGAGTGGAAGCAACTAGAGGGGTAAGGCCGTGAAAATCTAGTACCAGGAAATCATATTCTTCCAGCTGATTTTTCAGATGCCCCTTAGAGGGTCTTGAGGCTGGGGGTGGGGTGTGGGGTTCTAATAGGCAACTAATTCTAATTCAAAATGAAGCCCTCTTTTCTAATAAGAGTTTACTAGAAGCTTTTGGGAATCTGAAATTATTTTTCTAAATATCTCATCTTATTTTATATAAAGCCACCAGCACAGCCAGGCTTTTCATATGTGTTTAGTGGATTTAACTATACATTGACCAATTAAAGAGGGGAGGGGTCTAGAGTGGTTAAGAACACAAACTTCGGAGACAGACAGACCTGGGTTATACCCTGGTGCTTCCCCTGACTTGCTGCTTGAAATTGATACTGAGCCTTGCTGCTGCTTCTGGAGAACTGGATAAATTTACCTCAGAAGGTTGTGATAAAGATTAGATAAGATGATGAACATGAAATAGAATAGTGCCTGACACATAATAAACACCCCCAGAATAGTGGTTATAGTAGTATTAGTAGTAATATTTATGAAATTGGGGTTGCCCGAGGGCTTATCTTCATGCTCTTTTCTACCAAATCATGTAGCTCAGTGTTTTTCAAACAAATTTTATGATGACCAGCAGTGAGACACATTTTATGAAGTGATTGAGTACACATGTCCATAGGAGAGACAAAAGTTTCACAGAACAATATTCCCCGTTACTGTGTGCAATCTATTCTATTCTATTAAATTCTATTCTTTTCTACTCTATTTATTTTATTTCTTTTCATTCTTAAATGCTGATCACAGCCCGCTAAGTAGCTTTCGCTACTGTGTAAGTGGGTCGTGGCCCACAGTTTGTAAAGCACTCACCTAGATGAACCTGGGAAAGGCAGTTAGCGCTCTCAGGATCCCAGAGAGCAGTCTTTTTTTTTCTTTAACTCTTTAGAAATTTATTTATTTATTATGTATTTATTTTTGGCTGTGTTGGGTCTTCGTCGCTGCGCACGGGCTTTTCTCTAGTTGCAGCGAGCAGGGGCTACTCTTCATTGCGGTACGTGGGCTTCTCATTGCAGTGGCTTCTCTTGTGGAGCACGGGCTCTAGAGCGCACAGGCTCAGTAGTTGTGGCGCACGGGCTTAGTTGCTACGTGGCATGTGGGATCTTCCCGGACCAGGGCTCGAACCCGTGTCCCCTGCATCGGCAGGCGGATTCTTAACCACTGCGCCACCAGGGAAGTCCCAGAGAGCTGCCTTCTTCTGAATTAACATCTCTGGCCAAGATTTGGATCCAAAATAAATGTTCGCCATGAATTATCTTCCCCATTAAAACTACCTGTGAGAACAATGAATGACAGCTGCAAAGTGACTAGACACCAGTCCTCATACTTTCACCCCTGGCCTGCCTTCTGGATGATGATATTCTTTTCTAGACCCTTCTAGCAACTCCAGGCCAAGATCCGGGTTTGGCCTGTAGGACCTGGCACGCACTTGGGAGTGCGAGTGCATGTGTGTGTGCGCATGGGAGAGAGGGAGAGAGAGTTCGTAGGAATTGGGGAGGAGAGGGGAAGGACTGCCAACTTCTCAGTTTTTCCCTCTGATGTCATCTACCTCTCAGGTTTCTGCCAGGTTGGAGGGGAATGCCCACTCCCCTGGGTGGTAACACTTTCCTCTCCAGAGGCTCCTCCTCTGGAGATGCCTGAGATGGTGAGGAACCAAAGCACCAGCAGTCGCCAGCTCTTAGCTCCACCTCCCTGGTTTGTTTCCTTCGCCTTGACAGAGCCTTGGTCCGGTAAGATGATCTGACCACAGCTGGTCTCCTACACTTAGAACAAGTTGGAGGCAAGAGAACTTGGGGAAGGAATTTGGTTTCACTAAAAATAGCTGCAGTATAGACCCTGTGACTTACCACTCCTCAGAACAGTCTGATATGCACCGCACGGGGTCCACTGACCCCTGCCATCACTTTGGACTATTTGCTTGTCCTGCCTGGAGCCCTTGAAACCACGAGGGGCTTAGGGAGCTGGGGGCGCTTTGGCTCAGACGCAGACTCTTGCAAATCTCAGACACGCATGGTGGTGATACGACCGAGAAGCTTCCTCTCCCCCGGAGCGCGTGACCGTCGGCACTAACAACAACAGGTCCCTTTAAGAGTTTGGTCCATGGTGGAATATCGCTTGTTCCTCACCACCGGGCCCACTGCATCTCCACTTCTAAGGTAGGTGAAACCAAACTCCTTGGGGGAAATGCTACTGGAACCGTGATCCTCTTGGGTAACCCCAGCCCAGGTTTCCTCAGCCTGGGTCAGGGAGGCAAATGTCAGGGCAGGACGTAGCTTAGGGATAAAAGTCTGAGTCCTTTCCTTGCACCCTCCTGCCCCAAAGCGAAGATATTAGCCAGCAGGAAAGCACCTCAGATGTTAAATTTAACCCTTTCTTAACATCTCTACTTAGAGTTGCCTTTTTTTTTTAGGTGCCTTGTCCTTCCTCTCCTGTCACTAACGCTGAGAATTTGAACTTGGCTCAGGGCACTGGTTATCTGTGTTTGCCTTTTCTGCTGTACAGTGACAGAGTGACACAGAGCTGCCTAGAGCAGAGATTCCTGTAGTTCAGGCAGGCCCTGTGACAGAGGGAGTCCACCCCAGGTGCACAAAAGACTTGCTTGGATTCCCTTTCCTCCCTGCAATACCCCTGTCGGGACTCATCTCTGATTTCTAGTCCGTTTATAGCAATGGGCCTTGGGGAAGGAGTTGGAATTGAAGGGGAGCTGGAAAGTTCTGGGGGAGAGGTTAGGAGCCCTCTGAGAGAAAAAGAAGCTGCCTTGGCTGTGGGAAGGTTAAACGCTAACAAGTTCTTGCTTTTAAGGTTAACTTTTGAGCATTCGCTATGCAAAGTACTATGCCAGCATTCCAGCTTGCCAAATCAAGGTGTTTTCATGAAAACGAAGAGACGCTTTAGTAACAGATATGCTTACTTTAAATGAAAACTACAATCTTAAAATATTACATGGCTGGAGGAAACAAATCTCTAGACTCAGAATCATCTGTGTGCATTTTGTAGAAGAATGGATCACTGACTGATACTTGAACATTATATCCCTACTTTTTTTTTTCCTTTCACCCATCTTTGGGGTAGATGAGTGTCTAAATACCATAAACTTAAACTCTTAAACCTAGGGAATTCCCTGGCTGCCCAGTGGTTAGGACTCCGTGCTCTCACTGCCGAGGGCCCGGGGTCAGTCCCTGGTCGGGGAACTAGAATCCCACAAGCCACATAGGCCCAAACAACAAAACAAAAAAACTTAAACCTAGAGGAAAAATGTTGGAAGTCATCTTGTCTAATCCTCCTTATAGGAGCATGAGTTGGGTTGAGTGGCGACCTGGTCTGTACCTAGAGTGTTGCCTCAGCTTTCCCTGTGGCTCAAAATGGATACACATGGTGGTTATTTCCATTTTGAAGCCGTGGTTCTATTGACACCACATCCTACTAGTGCTTTCTCCTTTCCGATAACACTTTAAGGTTCATTCATGTTGTTGCAAAGCTAGATGAAGCTAGAATGCTTTGAATTATTTTCCCCATGTTGCATTTGTGCGGCCACGTGGCGCCATTAATACCAGGCGCTGGTCTTACCACCCAAACGTGTTGTCACATTTTATTGAAAGTTGTCAGGGGTTTTGCATTCAAACTGGGTATTCGTTTTATTGAAACACTCTAGAGAAGGCGATTTGCTGGATGTTGCCTCTAAATAGCACACTTGTCTAGTACTTTGAACAAATGACTCCGCTAAGAAAAACTCCATGAACAAACAACTTTTCAGGAATGCATTTTTCAGTAAAGCAATGCTTCCCATACTCCATTTCATGAACCAATGCCAGGCTGGCTGCCCAGGAATCACCTGGAAAGATTGTTTAAAAATATAGTTTCTGGGCCACATCCCTGGAACTTCAGATTCAAAGGTCTGGGAATGGAGCCCCAGAACCTGGACTTTTAGCAAGCCATCCTGATGCATGGGCAGATTTGGGAAGCATTGTGAAAGTCAAGGTCCTCCTGTTTTTGTTCGTTTGTTTCTTTGTCCCACATCTCTTAATGATTCTCTGTTGCCTTCAGGAAAAGTTCATACTTCGTTTGGCATTCCCCAGGCCCTCCATGTTCTAGCCCTAACCCACCTTCCAATCTCATTCCTCATCTTTCCATTTTGCTTCCATGCCTGGGCACTTTACTAATGCCTTTGACTGCTGTGTCCTTCCTTACCTTTCTGCACACCCAAGTCTGCCCCATTTCTCGTGGTCTATCACAGAAACAGTATGGGTCTAGAACCAAAAAGCAATAGAAAGAGAGAAGCACTTAACAGAATGGAGGAGTAAGGGTGTCCAAAAATACATTCCTCCATGAAAGCAGGGAAAACACTGGGAAATTTGTCAAAATAAGCTTTTTTATAACTTTTTCTGGAAATTAACCAAAGGCTTCAAAAATCCATGAAGCATTTTATTTAAGAAAAATAGCTGGACCTTGATAAGAATAGAGGACTTTGTAGTGTTTTAACTTTCCCTATGTACATCCTCCTCTCCCCAAATCAGTGGCAGCCTTGAAAACCAGTAGCCTAGCAGCTACTAGAAGGAGAACAACAGAGCATCAAACTATGTGAGGCAAAAACTAATAGAACTGCCAAGAGAAATAGATAAATCTACTATCATAGTTGAAAACTTCAACATCCCTCTTTCAGAAAAAGATAGATCCAACAGGCAGACAGTCAGTAAGAACAGAGTTGAACTGAACAATACCCATCAGTCAACTGGATATAAGTGACATCTATAGTCTACTTCATCTGACAACAGCAGAATACACCTTCTTCTCAAGCTACCATGGAACAGTCGCCAAGATAGACTGCAGTTTGGACCGTAACACACAACTTAACATCTAGACTTCAGAGTGCATAAGAAGGACTCCGAGGGCTTCTTTAAAAATACCAACTCCTGAGACTCACTTCTGGAGATTCTGATTCAGCAGGTCTGGAGTTCTCCTGTGCCTCAGAGGGTCTGATGCTGCCACGCTTTCAGAAACACTACATCTAGCTCAAATGTCATCTCTTTATGAAACCATTTCTCAAGGTGTTCGTGCTTCTCCACTCCCAAAGCATTTTGTTTATAGATCGTAATTTAATACTTCACTCTTTACCTTTTATTTGAATTATTCCTGTACATTATCATTTCTCTCACTCAACAAACATCCACTGAGTGCCTAATATAAAAGATATATCCTTCCTCAAGAACGCACGCTCCTTGGGAGGAGGGATCTCTGTCCATTTATCTGTGTAAACACCTTAGGCCTGAGTGTGCAGTGTCAGTGGAATCGTAAAGTTTAAATCACCTTGCGGTAGATGAAGCGAGGATAGAAGCTGTCCCAAGATAAAGCTTTATTTTCCCTAAGAAAGGTGAATGTGAGGCAGATCCTCTCTGTCTCTATGCCCAAAATCTGAGATTTATGCACCAGCAAGGGATCTGAGAAGCCTTCTGTGGTTGGGAAATCTCAGAGCACAATGATGACTGGATTCCAGGAAGTCTCTTGCCTTAGGTAGGATGGGAAAGCACCTGGCATTTCTAAATGCAGTAGTTCTGCCATAAGGGAGGGATGAACATAGTGCCAAGGGATGCAGAGGCGGGGCAGGAGACCTTGGGTGATGGAGATCTGCAGGGGCTTCACTTGGGGCAGACTTCCCTTCTGTGCCTCACCTGGTGTAGCAACTGCAGTTCCTCTAGAATTGTCCATTACTGAAATGCTGTGGCTCTTTAATTATTTGTAATTTACTTAAACACGTATATAATATATAATTATGTAAAAATGTACAACTCGCATTGCTAGCCTCATATGTGTCCTTCCATATTTCTGTTCTCATATAATTATATAAAACATGCATATGTACACATAGACACATGAATATATCTTTTTTGTTATAGATTATTTTACAAAAATTATGTCATGTTACTTAAACATTTCTGGATCTTATTCTTCTTACCATCTACTAGCTGTGTGACTTTAGGTTCTCTGGGCTTCAGTTTCCTCATTTGGAAAATGAGGATGATGATAGTACTTATCTCATGGGTTTATTATGAGGATTCATTGAGTTAAAATACATAAAGCACTTAAAATAGCGCTATATGTGAGTGTTTGCTATTAGCATCATTACTATTATTCTCATTCAACAAAACCTACAAGTCAACTGCAGTTGATTGGTTTCATTCTTTTTAATGGTTGCACAGAACTTTGTGATGGAGAACAATTTCTCTATCCATTTGACTTTTAGTGGACATTCACTTTGCTTCCATTTTTTTTTTTTTTTTTT